AGGTCACGAAGAGTCGGAGACGACTGAATGAATGAACAACAACATTATTGATATGATCAGTGGACTACTCAATAAACTTTGCTTTGCTTTGCTTTGCTTTGCTTTGGATCACCAATTCATTCTCTGTCTCCAACTTGTTTGTTTCAGGGATGATAAGAAAGACGGTTTGAAATTCTACACCGATCCTTCATATTTCTTCAACTTGTGGAAAGAGAAGATGTTGCAAGCCACGGAAGACAAGAGGAAAGAGAAACGCAGGCAGAAGGTACACGTTGTGGGGTTGGAGGGACCTACACACTCTTCCCTGTCCGTACAGAGCAGTCAGTCAAATAGCAGAGGAAATCAAGCCATGCTCTGACGAGACTCCGTAAAATGCTAACATGCATTCTTCTCATTATAAATAATAGCATTGTCTGCTCGTTAAGTGGACTTAATGTGTGCAGGAAATATAATTGCAGCTTCGTAACTACATATCAGAGCTGGAACGAAAGAATGGTTGGCAACGGCACACCAACAAAAGGGATTCTATTGTCGAAGGCTTTCATGGCCAGAATCACCGGGTTGCTGTGAGTTTTCCGGGCTGTATGGCCRTGTTCCAGAAGCATTCTCTCCTGATATTTCACCTGCACATATGGCAGGCAACCTCTGAGGATGCCTGCCATAGATGCAGGCAAAACGTCAGAGATAATGCTTCTGGAACACAGCCATACAGCCCGGAAAACTCTCAGCAACCCAAAAGGGATTCTAACATGCACCCTTTTTGCTTCTTGGCAATCCGTTCACCGGATTTCTTAGCATCTCTGCTACTAAGTGGATTGCATGCACAGTTACATTGTAGGGAAGGGATTGCAGGATTCTGGCCAATACAGGAGAGTCTCGTTTATCCGACCTTCGCTTATCCGACAATCAGTCTTATCGAATAGTTGCCTACGTGAGTCCCGCCCGGGATAGAGAAATGTCATAAATGAATAAATAATAACTAAATTGCTATCTCCTCCTCCTCCTCTTCCTTCTCCTCCTTCTCTTCTTCTTCTTCCTCCTCCTCTTCCTCCTCCTCCTTTTCCTCCTCTCCTTTTTCTCCTCCTTTCCTCTCCTCCTCCTACTTTTCCTCCTCCTCCTTCCTCCTCCTCCTCCTCCTCCCCTCCCCCCCTCTCTCCTCCTCTCCACCTCCTCCTCCTCCTCCTCTCCTCCCCTCTTTCCTCCTCCTTTTTCCCTCCTCCTCCTTTTCCCTCCTCCCTCCCTTCCTTCCTCCTCCTCCTTTTTCTTCCTCCTCCTTCTCCCCTTCCTTTCCTCCCTTTTTTTCCTCCTCCTCCTTTTTCTCCTCCCCTTCCTCTTCCTCCTCTTCCTTTCCTCCTCCTTCTTCCTCCTTCCTTTTTCTCTCCTTTTCCTCTCTTCCTCCTCCTCCTTTCCTCCTCTCTTCCTCCTTTTCCTCCTCCTCCTCCTTTTCCTCTTCCTCCTCCTCTCCTTTTCCCCCTCCTCCTCCTTTCCTCTCCTCCTTTTTCCTCCTCTCCTTTCCTCCTCCTCCTTTCCCTCCTCCTCTTCTTCCTCCTCTTCCACCTCTCCTCCTCTTCCTCTCCTCTCTTCCTCCTCCTTCCCCTCCTTTCTTCCTCCTCCTCCTCTCCCTCCTCCCCCCTCTTCTCCTCCTTTTCCTCCTCCTCTCCTTTTCCTCCTCCTCTTCCTCCTCCTCTTCCCTCCTCCTTCTCCTCCTCCATTTCCTCCTCCTCCTCCTTTTCCTCCTCCTCCATTTCCTCCTCCTCATCCTTTTTCTCCTCCTCCATTTCCTCCTCCTGCATTTCCTCCCCCTGTTTTTCCTCCTCCTCCTTTTCTTCCTCCCCTTCCTCTTCCTCTTCTCCTCCTCCTCCCTTCCTCCTCTTCTTCTTCTTCCTCCTCCTTCTCTCTTCCTCCTCCTCCTCTTCCTCCCTCCTCCTTCCTCCTCCTCCTTCTCTTCCTCCCTCTCCTCTTCCTCCTCCTCCTCCCCCTCCTCCTCTTCCTCCTCCTCCTTCCTCCTCTCTCTCCTCTTTCTTCCTCCTCCTCCTCCTCCTCCTCCTCCTCCTCCTCCTCCTCCTTTTCCTCCTCCTCTTCTTCCTCTTCCTCCTCCTTCTCCTCTTCCTCCTCCTCCATTCCCAGGAGCAGCGCTTGGTGGAGGACTCCACTCGGGAAGTGAAGAAAGTGCGGAAGGCGCGCAACCGCCGCCTGGAGTGGAACATGATGGCCTATGATAAGGAGTTCCGTCCCGATAACAGGTTCTCCCCATCCCCATATCACATGGCCTCATCGGAAGGATCACTGTCCCCCGACAATAGGCAGGTTTTACGTATTACACGCTTCGCTCGCGCTCTCTTTTTCCGTTGCTGGTCTTTTGGCTTTGCTTTGCTTTGGCCACTTCCTTCCTTTGACGCCGGGACGCTTCTCTCCCTGCCGACAGCGAGGGCTCTGTTCTGACTAGATGCAGGTCCGGGGGGTCGTCAAACTCCCCCGGAGACCCTCTTCCAAGGAAACGTTGCCTTTGATGCTCAGGTCCTGCTTCATCCTTGCATGAGCTTTGCTGCTTTCCAATGATGCTGAGATAAGACACAAAACGTGCAGTTTGAGGTCTCCAAAGCCAAGTCAATGGCTCCCCCCTTGAACTCCCTTCCTGCCTCTCCCCTCTTTGTGCACCAATATGACCCACATGTCTATGCTCTGTTCTTTAAATTGGGGATGCCATACATGGCTTGGATCTACACGGTAGCATTTAATGTTGTTTGACTGTATTTGGACTGCTTTGACTCACTGCTGTGGAATCTTAGGAGTTGTAGTTGTTGGAAATTCCATATCATATTAGAATTAAGTGCACCATAACCTTATTGAAAAGGTTTAAATGGAAAAGCATGAAAGAAGGTAGGGAAGGAAGGAAGAAGAGAAGGAGGGAAAGAAGCAAAGGAAGGTAGAGAAGGAGGGAGGAAGAGGAGAAGGGAAAGAAGGAGGGAAGGAGAGAAGGAAGGAAAGAAAAAAGGCTAGAGAAGGAAGGAAGGAGGGAAAGAAGGAGGGAAGGAAAGAAGGAAGGGTAGAGAAGGAAGGAGAGAAAGGGGGAGAAAGAGGGAAAGAAAGAAAGTTAGGGAAGGAAGGAAGGAGAGAAGAAGGGAGAGAAAGGGAAAAAAGAAGGGAAGGAGAGAAAGAAGGGTTGGGAAGGAAGGAGAGAAGGAGGGAGAGAATGAAATAAAAAACTGAAAGAGGGAAGGAAGGAGAGAAGGAACCAAAGAGAGAAAGAGGGAGGGAAGGAAGGAAGGAAAGAGATAAGGAAAGATATTCATAGGCATTTATGTAATGGCACACAGGTCACTCAGCTGTTAGACTGAAGAACCATGTCTTTAAACTACCAAGGAGAAAGACATGCCACTACAAAAAATATATTTATATGATCTTGTTAGAAGTCAACCGTTTGAACAAGTGATATTCATAGGCATTTGTGTAATGGCACACAGGTAACTCAGCTGTTAGACTGAAGAACCACGTCTTTAAACTGCTAAGGATAAAGACAGGCCACTACAAAAAAAATATTTGTATGATCTTGTTAGAAGTCAACCCTTTGAACAAATGATATTCATAGGCATTTATGTAATGGCACACAGGTAACTCAGCTGTTAGACTGAAGAACCATGTCTTTAAACTGCCAAGGAGAAAGACATGCCACACACACACACACATATATTTGTATGATCTTGTTAGAAGTCAACCCTTTGAACAAGTGATATTCATAGGCATTTATGTAATTGCATACAGGTAACTCAGCTGTTAGACTGAAGAACCATGTCTTTAACCTGCCAAGGAGAAAGACATGCCACACACACACATATATTTGTATGATCTTGTTAGAAGTCAACCCTTTGAACAAGTGATATTCATAGGCATTTCTGTAATGGCACACAGGTAGCTCAGCTGTTAGACTGAAGAACCATGTCTTTAAACTGCCAAGGATAAAGACATGCCACTAAAAATATATATATTTGTATGATCTTGTTAGAAGTCAACCCTTTGAACAAATGATATTCATAGGCATTTATGTAATGGCACACAGGTAACTCAGCTGTTAGACTGAAGAACGACGTATTTAAACTGCCAAGGAGAAAGACATGCCACTACAAAAAAATATATTTGTATGATCTTGTTAGAAGTCAACCCTTTGAACAAGTGATATTCATAGGCATTTGTGTAATGGCACACAGGTAACTCAGCTGTTAGACTGAAGAACCATGTCTTTAAACTGCCAAGGAGAAAGACATGCCACACACACACACACATAATATATATTTGTATGATCTTGTTAGAAGTCAACCCTTTGAACAAATGATATTCATAGGCATTTATGTAATGGCACACAGGTAACTCAGCTGTTAGACTGAAGAACCATGCCTTTAAACTGCCAAGGAGAAAGACATGCCACTACAAATATATATATTTGTATGATCTTGTTAGAAGTCAACAGCTGAGTTACCTGTGTGTCATTACAGAAATGCCTATGAATATCACTTGTTCAAAGGGTTGACTTCTAACAAGATCATACAAATATATATATATATTTAGTGGCATGTCTTTCTCCTTGGCAGTTTAAAGACGTGGTTCTTCAGTCTAACAGCTGAGTTACCTGTGTGCCATTACAGAAATGCCTATGAATATCCCTTGTTCAAAGGGTTGACTTCTAACAAGATCATACAAATATATTTTTTGTAGTGGCATGTCTTTATCTGTGTGTAGATGCATTAACCCAGTGTTTCTCAACCTTCCTAATGCCGTGAAACACTGGGTTAACACATCTACACACAGTTAGTGGAGGCTTGGAAGGTTGCTATTTCCAACAGTTGTTTTACCAGGTCTTTCACCTCCTCTGCCAAAAAGTGCTGGTGCCTCACCAAACTATGACTCCCAGGGTTCCATAGCATGGAAGTGATGTCAAACTGAACCAACTATGCAGTGCAGATGCATCCTTCGTCGCCATTGTCAATCATAACTCTGTCCCCTGTTTTCTTATGAGATTGCGAAGTCTCAAAAGTTGGTGAGATAACAAGTTCTTGCACCTAATCTTTTTTTTTCCCCATGCTTAGAATTCATTGGAGAGGGAGAGTGACAATTTCATGCAAGTTGTTTGGAACGGAACAAAAAGTTAAATGCCTTGAATCCTAATATTCAACTGAACAGGAGCAGGCCTATTGAACTGAAAGGCTTGGCCAATATGGTTGTCATGCAACAGCGGAATCAATGGTGCTAGTTTGCATTCACCCATAGAATGAAGGCTGGGGGATGCAACATTTTTGCAGGAAAATGCCCCAAATCTTGGTTGCATATAAATGCAGTCTCAACATACGAGGGGCGTTCATTAAAGATTAAAAGGTTAAATGGACGAACCCAGAGAGTGCTCACTAATGCTTCCTCTTCATCCTGGAAAGAAGTGACGAGTGGAGTGCCATCCGCAGGGTTCTGGCCTGGGCCTGGTCCTGATCAGGATCTTCATTAATAACTGAGATGAAGGGCTAGAAGGCAGGATCATCAAGTTTGCAGACGACACCAAATTGGGAGGGAGAGCCAATACTCCAGAGGACAGAGCAGGATTCAAAACGATCTTGACAGATTAGAGAGATGAATGGCCAAAACTAACAAAATGAAGTTCAAGAGGGACAAATGCAAGATACTCCACTTTGGCAGGAAAAACGAAATGCAAAGATACAGAATGGGGGATGCCTGGCTCGAGAGCAGTACGTGTGAAAAAGATCTTGGAGTCCTCGTGGACAACAAGTTAAACATGAGCCAACAATGTGATGTGGCGGCAAAAAAAGCCAATGGGATTTTGGCCTGCATCAAGAGGAGCATAGTGTCTAGATCTAGGGAAGTCCTGCTCCCCATGCTCTATTCCGCTTGGTTAGACCACTTTACCTGGAATATTGTGTCCAATTCTGGGCACCACAATTCAAGAGAGATATTGACAAGCTGGAATGTGTCCAGAGGAGGGCGACTAAAATGATCAAGGGTCTGGAGAACAAGCCCTATGAGGAGCGGCTTAAGGAGCTGGGCATGTTTAGCCTGAAGAAGAGAAGGCTGAGAGGAGATATGATAGCCATGTATAAGTATGTGAGAGGAAGCCACAGGGAGGAGGGAGCAAGCTTGTTTTCTGCTTCCCTGGAGACTAGGACGCAATGGAGCCATGGCTTCAAACTACAAGAGAGGAGATTCCATCTGAACATGAGGAAGAACTTCCTGACTGTGAGAGCCGTTCAGCAGTGGAACTCTCTGCCCCGGAGTGTGGTGGAGGCTCCTTCTTTGGAAGCTTTGAAACAGAGGCTGGATGGCCATCTGTCAGGGGTGATTTGAATGCAATATTCCTGCTTCTTGGCAGAATGGGGTTGGACTGGATGGCCCAGGAGGTCTCTTCCAACTCTTTGATTCTATAATTCTAGCGAGCGGATACCTTATGCAGGTGAAGATGGTCTTGGATGATTTTTTCCACAGACCCCACACTCATCTTGACATTTTGGGCTAGGTGGGGAACGGTTACGTGGCGGTTTCCCAAAATGGCGACCTCCACTTGCTGGATGGTGTGTTCATTAAGCAAGTGGAATTGGAGCTGTTTGCACCAAAGTCCGACCACATTGGAATGGACAATGCCAGTTCTTGACTCCATCATCTGATGGGGAATCCTCACCAGAACCTCTTTCATCTCATTGAACGTCTCCTTTGGTGTGCAGCCCTTCAAGGAAAGGAACTTGAGGACTGCTCTGTCTTCCACTGGGTCCATTCTCAAACCTCACACCACTTCAGCACCTGTCACATCAAGACCGTTCTCTGTTCCGAGTTGTACTATAGAGACTTATATCATTACACTTGTGTAGTTTCAGCGTCCTGTGATACATACGAGGGGTATTTTTTAAGTAAGGTTCGTTTTGTTGTAGACACTAGTAGTTTGCGCGCATACCGCAACGAGCGCTTCCGTCGTGTACCGGCATGCTTCGGGAACAACTGTGCTCAGTTTCCTCTCTGTAGCTCACCTGTACGGTTCTGTTCTGTGCTTTAAACATGTTTAAGACTCTCAACTCACCCTCCGCATGTGAGGTTCGCTCAGTGATACGGTTTTTGTCAGCAAGGAACCTGCCTGCTGCAGAAATTCATTGACAGATTTGTGAAGTGTCCGGTGACACTGTTATGAGTGGAAGCAAAGTGCGTAAGTGGGTACGACGATTCAAAGATGGCCGTGACAACGTCCATGATGAGGACCGCTCCGGTCGCCCTGCTTTGATTACAGACGATTTGATTTGATTGCACACTCAAATCTTTGGTTTTTGTGGTCCTCTGTTAGGAGTTTCAGGACCCAACGGGAGCACAGTTTCCTAAACTTTAGGTGTTCAGAAACAATGTTGTAAAACACTGATCTCGACACATCAGGAAATTCGTTTGAGAGACCTGTTATTGTGA